GTCTATAGCCTCAGTCCTGGGTCTATAGCCTCAGTCCTGGGTCTACAGCCTCAGTCCTGGGTCTACAGCCTCAGTCCTGGGTCTACATCCTCAGTCCTGGGTCTACAGCCTCAGTCCTGGGTCTACAGCCTCAGTCCTGGATCTACAGCCTCAGTCCTGGATCTACAGCCTCAGTCCTGGGTCTACAGCCTCAGTCCTGGGTCTAGCAACTCTTTTTTACATAAATGTATTGCATTTATTTTCCTCACAGATCCATAATAACATATTGGATTATTCATTAATCAATAAATCAAATACAGTCCACTGTGTTAGGTCTCGGTCAAACAGGTTATGTGATCATTTTAATGTTTTTAATAGACATTGAACCAGTCCCGCCCTCGGCTTGTAGCAAATGTGTTTCTTTGGCCTCTGATGTATTTGACTTTGGCATCCCTGCTCTAAAGAAAGGGTCTGTGTAATCCAAGGCTATTTAGAAGCAGTGCGACTGTTGCCGAAAGTGAAACTATTGTGACCAACATTCAAAATGTTTTGAATGAGAATAAGTCTAATAAGTCTAATTTAGTCTCTGTATAGGGTGCAGGAACTAGAAACACAAAAGGACAACATTGTGTAGAATTGTAATTTTAATTTTAACAATTAACAATATTTGTGTAAATTGTTAAATGCTTTGACAACACACATTTACATATCCTTCTTTATTGAGCTAAAGATGGATACTTTATATTTGATACTTCTTATTATGCTAAAGTCAGAGGTGTTTTTGCTTAATTCTTGCTTTTTTATGAAGCTAAAGCTAGAGATGTTATACTTGCTTCGTTTTTATGCCAAGCTAGAGATTTAATGTTATTTTAATTTAGTATTGAACATTTTAAAGCGCTTTAGGTGACTTTGGTCTGTGAAATGCGTAATATAAATAAACATTTCTTACTTACTTTTTTAATTTTATCTTGTGCTGTTTCCTACTTTTCTGTAACCGGTGAAACACTGACATTTAACAACTAAGAAACTAACAAATAATCTTATCCTTTACTGATGTGAAACCCATTGGTAAATAGACGGATAGTAATCATACCAAAAAATACCGGCACGTTTTTAGACCATAAGATTTTTGGTCTAAACTCCACACACACACACACACACACACGACTGTTACAAGCCACATGATGACTTAGAAGCAAAGTGATATCCTGAATGTGGATTACATTTTCAGTGATAAATAAATCTTCCTCTTGTTAATGCCGCTGCTCTTGGACGACGTGGCGGTGTTGTATTTCTCACAGTCTATTTTTATTGTGGCTGTCATTTTCTCTATGTGTAAGAAGCGTCCATTCAGACCCTGGTGACAACCTGTACTCCGTGTTTATGGGGACGCATCACGGGGCAAAAGGCCAGTGGAGTTTTCCCGATCACAAACTGTTCCTGTCGGATTAAGGACGATGAAAAAAACACTCAATGCTATTCATGTTTTATTTTTATGTTTGAAATATGAAGCAATATACAACACACAGGCTTGAGACGCTTTACTGTAGGAATTTATGGGTTACAAAGTGAAATAATGTCCTCGGTGTAAATATATATAGCTTAATAAATGAGTTTGAGTAGTAAAATAACAAAAACAAAGGCAAGTTTTTTTGTATAGCACAGTTTATACAATACAGTTGAAACAGTCAGAGCTAAAAACAGAACGGTGATGGAAAAATAAGCGCCTTTATTGAACCTTAATTAAAGTGGTATCAATATACAGCAGAGAAATGGAGAAATTCAAGTTTTGGCATAGATCAAATAAGATTGCTATTTAACATCATTGATAATTTATATTCAAAAATAATTCAATGAAAATAAAATGGACTTTGGAGATATGACTGCACAGTGGCTCAGTTGGTAGAGCATTGGCCTTTCAGCTCGAAGGTTGTGGGTTGGAGTCCACCACGAGACCCTCTCCAGCGACTCCCACTCATGTCTGCTGTCGTTGTGTCCTTGGGCAAGACACTTAACCCACAGAAGTGATGTTTGCGGCTTGCCTTGTTGTGTATATGTGTAAATGTGAATGTAACAAACTGAAATTTCCCCATTGTGGGACAAATAAAGGACTTTCTTCTTCAAAGACTTGTGGAGTACAGACTGTAGTGAGCAGATTCAGACTACTTTATTTATCCCACCAGGGGAAATTCATTTGAGCAGCATTAAAAAAAAACAGCTGTCAGGAAGTTTCACATTTACAGATGAGCAGCAGAGAATTTGACCACAGTTTGTTCTCCCCGTGTCTGCTCCTGTTTACTCTACCTCTAAAAACATGTCCAATAGGTCTGGCTGCCTCTCTGTGTGGAGAGGATGAATGGCCTCAATAATTGTGAAAGGCGCTATATAAATAAGATTACTTACAATGTTGATAAAATATGACTTAATTACTCTCGCAGGAGGCAGCAGTCATGGTCCAGCAAAGATCCTAGCTCAGCAGTAGAGCCTCCCCAGCAGTAGAGCCTCCCCAGCAGTAGAGCCTTCTCAGCAGTAGAGTCTCCTCAGCAGTAGAGCCTCCTCAGCAGTAGAGCCTCCTCAGCAGTAGAGCCTCCTCAGCAGTAGAGCCTCCCCAGCAGTAGAGTCTCCTCAGCAGTAGAGTCTCCTCAGCAGTAAAGCCTTCTCAGCAGTAGAGCCTCCCCAGCAGTAGAGTCTCCTCAGCAGTAGAGCCTCCTCAGCAGTAGAGCCTCCTCAGCAGGTAAAGCCTCCTCAGCAGGTAAAGCCTCCTCAGCAGTAGAGCCTCCTCAACAGTAAAGCCTCCTCAGCAGTAGAGCCTCCTCAGCAGTAGAGCCTCCTCAACAGTAAAGCCTCCTCAGCAGTAGAGCCTCCTCAACAGTAAAGCCTCCTCAGCAGTAGAGTCTCCTCAGCAGTAGAGCCTCCTCAGCAGGTAAAGCCTTCTCAGCAGTAGAGCCTCCTCAGCAGTAGAGCCTCCTCAGCAGTAGAGCCTCCTCAGCAGTAGAGCCTCCCCAGCAGTAGAGTCTCCTCAGCAGTAAAGCCTCCTCAGCAGTAAAGCCTCTTCAGCAGTAGAGCCTCCCCAGCAGTAGAGCCTCCTCAGCAGTAGAGCCTCCTCAGCAGTAAAGCCTCCTCAGCAGTAGAGCCTCCTCAGCAGTAGAGCCTCCTCAGCAGTAGAGCCTCCTCGGCAGTAAAGCCTCCTCAGCAGTAGAGCCTCCTCAGCAGGTAAAGCCTCCTCAGCAGTAGAGCCTCCTCAACAGTAAAGCCTCCTCAGCAGTAGAGCCTCCTCAGCAGTAGAGCCTCCTCAGCAGTAAAGCCTCCTCAGCAGTAGAGCCTCCTCAGCAGGTAAAGCCTTCTCAGCAGTAGAGCCTCCTCAGCAGTAGAGCTTCCTCAGCAGTAGAGCCTCCTCAGCAGTAAAGCCTCCCCAGCAGTAGAGTCTCCTCAGCAGTAGAGCCTCCTCAGCAGTAAAGCCTCCCCAGCAGTAGAGTCTCCTCAGCAGTAGAGTCTCCTAAGCAGTAAAGCCTCCCCAGCAGTAGAGTCTCCTCAGCAGTAGAGTCTCCTAAGCAGTAAAGTCTCCTAAGCAGTAAAGTCTCCTCAGCAGTAAAGTCTCCTCAGCAGTAGAGTCTCCTCAGCAGTAGAGTCTCCTCAGCAGTAGAGTCTCCTCAGCAGTAGAGTCTCCTCAGCAGTAAAGCCTCCTCAGCAGTAGAGTCTCCTCAGCAGTAGAGTCTCCTCAGCAGTAGAGTCTCCTCAGCAGTAGAGTCTCCTCAGCAGTAGAGTCTCCTAAGCAGTAAAGTCTCCTAAGCAGTAAAGTCCTGTATTCCTCCTCTATGAGAACACACTGCAGGTTTTTATTCCAACTTGAGCCAGAGCACAGCAGACTCCACCCATTTCCTCAAATCGTCAGGTGAGGCCTGGACTGAGGAAATGGGTGGAGTCTGGTGTGCTCCGGCTCAGGTGTGAACTAAAACTGGCCGCCACAACAGCCCTTTGAGGACCGTTTGCCTGGTTCATGGTATTGTCATATCGTGAACCACAACGTTGATAAAATATGCTGTACTGAAATATAATGCAGAAGGACGTGCATTTCCTTGTGCCCACCTCCTCTGCCCCGGTGTCACGTGGGTAAAGCCATGAATCAGCTGCCACTGCACAGCCCTCTCTTCACTGCAGGTATTTTTATCATGAATCCCACTTTACATTGTTCCAAATCACTTCCATCTCTCAGCACTTGATTGTTTTGTTAATACAAGATAAAGCTGCGGCAGAGGTTGTTTTCCATCATTTGTTTTATACGATGTTTGGTGTTATACGTGTAGCTGTTAGCAAAAATAAACTTGCCTTAACTTTTTTTTCCTTTCTATGGCTTGTCAGTGCATCCTGTATCAACATTTCAGACCTGTAAACGCTTTTTATTGTATACAAATTTAATATTTTATGTGTGCTTAAGACAATCCTTTGAGTGTATTGTGTGTACACGTTTAATTTGTTTGAAAATAATCATACATTAAAAATACAATTCTAAGTATTGTTTCTGTTTTGTGTCATAATAAGAAACTGTCAAACATTGTAAAATATAATGAAAAAAAAACAACAACACTTTTCTGCTTGAAAATGTGTGTTCCACAAAAAGGCTGTTTTCTCCATATCTTGGTCAGGAAACAGCATTTTGTGTGAAAGTTACCCATGTTGTACTCTTAATTGCTTAAAAAAACGGAAAGGGGTAGAAACTTATTTTTTTTTAATGAAAGGCAAGAGACAGAGCTTTCATTTGGCATGTTTCATACTTGTGTCAACCAAAACACAAAAAATATCCAATGGCAGTATGAGGGATGCTGATTTATATATGGCTGGCAGTGAATGATATTAATCACTACGAAACTGTGTGTACTTTGAGTAGAATCAGAAGTGACACATGTATTCTTTCTCGGTTGTTTCATACATTTATTATTTGTGAAGTGATGGACCAGAACTGCTCTTTGAACTGTGGTAGTGGAGATGAATACTTTGTGTCCATATGCACTGTTGGTCTGAGATTAAGAAAAAGATGGATGGAGAAACTCAGACAAAGATACTTTATCGATCCCTGGAAAGGAAGTGCTTGGACCCATCAGCCGCCCACACAGACAGTATCTGGGGAGAAAAAGACAATAATCTAGTAATGTGCTTATTGTCCACTTTCCAATATTTAGAACATGATGTCTTTATAGAACATTTACATCAACCCCGTTTGAGATACAAGCATTGAGACAGAAGGGGCGGGGGGATGTGTTTGTGCAGATTTGTGGCTGGTATGTATTTTGACAAGAGAACTGTGGCCTTTGGTATTACTATTATGTTATGTTCAAAATGTATTATTGTAAAAGTCAGATGGACATTTTCAGTCTCTCTGCAAACCCCGCTTTTCTCAAAAAGTACTGCTGGCTCTGGACTGGCTCTGGACTGGCTCTGGACTGGCTCTGGTTCTGAGCCGAGTCAGCTTGGTCTTCCGCCATCAGAGAACGTACTAGTTACCATAGCAACACACTGTTTACTTGCCACCAACTGTTTATGCTGTATTTCAAGTTATATTATTATAACCAGTCCCAGCACTTTATTAAAGTGAGTAAAAAATGAGGTCAATCAAAATTACATACTTTGAATCGAATCTAATCTTAACTCACTAACTCTTTTGGTGACTCTTTCAGAATTCCCCACTACTCTGCAAGAAGGTCCTGGGTTCGAATCCCGGTTGGAACAGGGCCTTTCTGAGTGGAGTTTGCATGTTCTCCCCGTGTCTGCGTAGGTTTCCTCTGGGTGCTCCGGTTGCACCTCCTGTGCTGTCTCTGTGTAGAGTGAGAGACAAACGCATGCCGGTTTATGAGTTTGCATGTTCTACCTGTGAGTTTTACCCGAGTTCTCTTGTATTTCCATCAAGATCTCGAGCAGATATCTCCGTTTTGGAAATTTGTTACAGTCTTCAACGTATTTGGATATTGGCAGAACATTTAGATTTTGGCTTTTCCAAAAACTACTTGGAAAAAGTCAAATTTTAAGCCTTAAAAAAAAAATCTATTGTTTTCGCAAATTTAGTATTCAACAGTTTAAAAATGTTAAGCGCTTTGTGACTTTAGTCTGAGAAAGGTGCTGTAAATTAAATAAAGATTATTTAATTAGATAGATTTGAAACAGGGATTCAAATGTCATTCCAAAACCCCAAATACCATCGATGTGGGAGTTGTAGTTTTCAGTCCTGTAGTTTTGGAGCAAATGGCTGCAGAGCTTAAACACACTCTGCTTATGATGTCTATGATGTTCGGATGGAGAGCCCACCTTCACCTTGACCACATGACGTTCTGAAATGGCACTTCCGGTGGGGTGCTCTCTCTGCGCGCGTGGCTCACACTCACAGCTCCAGTCCGCGCGCGCTCTGCTCCTCGCGCTGTTGCCAGACCGCTCCGCACGCGCCACAAGGATCTCTCAGGACCCGGGACCAGGAGCAGCGCCACAGGAGGTAAGAGGACCGTGTACCTGGCTGCTAACGGGAGCTGTGTGAGATCACCCCACGCTGCATGGGCTGTTGTTGTGAGTTTTTATATATGCGGTGGAAACTTCAGGGGGGTTTGTTTTCTGCGCGGCGCGTGAGTTTTTGCGTGTGTCATGGCTCGTGCGTAATTGCGCATCAGCAGCAGCGGCATCTTGTCAAACTGTTGTCAATGCGTGCGTCAATGCGTGAAGTTTATTATGACGCAAACGTAATGGGTGCTATGTAATATTCCAATTGTTTTGTTGCTGTGTTTTATGTCATTGAAAGTATGGAAATATATTGGTATGTTTTAATATATTTGGACTTGCATTGTCAAACATGTTGTCCCCTATTGCTTTTGTTGAATTTTAGTCCTGATACTTTCTGTAGGCTGTAGTATAATTTATTCAATTCAATTCAATGTATTTTTGAATAGTCCTAAATGACTACAGCAGCCGTCTGTAATTTACAGAGAGATAATTTATCAGAGAGATAATAATAAGAAACACACTGCAGGAGACATTGGTCCATAGGGAGCAGTATGATCCATGTCCATAAATATTGATACACTTTAAAAATTATAAATATTTGTAGTATTTGTTCTTTGTTTTCATGTATATATGCAAGCCTTACATTAAGTTTTGTATAGTTGGATATTTAGGGAACGAGTTGCCCTTGTTGAACTTATTCAGTGTATGAATTAAATGTTCCTTTCATAAATCATTCCTATAGTTGCCTTAAATATGAACCAATTTGAAACGCTGTCGAATGTCTCACAATACTAGATAAACTGTATAATATTTTTGATTTTCTGTATTTTCTGAATTGTATAGTATTGGTCCATTGCATCTTTTACTTCCAAGCCACAGCCCAGATGATTAATATCTCCTCCTGCCTTTATGATAAACTGCGGTGTATTTTTCAAAGTTTTATCTGCGATCGTCTGTGCGGCGGCTTCTTTGTCATTGGACTTATCTTTGTGAGGAGACAAGTTTGGAATGCATACGTTGTTGTGTCTTCAAGGTGAAGCTTGGCTCCTCCGACTGCTGTTATTTTCTCAAGATTTCTGTGAGATCTGCGAGCAAATCTCTACTTTAATTATACGTTCTTTGCAAACAGTTGTGTGTCTTCTCATCTATGGATTTCAGAACGATAAAGTTGGACGGATGCCGAACCAGTATATTATTGTGGTTGGGCAAAGAAGTCCACAAAATGTTGCAAAATACAGTAGTGGCTAAGCACTCTGGGTGGGTCCACTTTCAGGCTCTGGAGTTCCTCCCCACAACACATGCACCATATGAATATCCTCCTACAAATGATCATGACCAAGATCACAATCTAGATATGGGTTCCCAGGAAAAGCGCTTTTGCAACCACAAAAAATGAACTGGGACTATTATTGGTTTTACTTAACCCAATACTTAACCTAATTTTCTCGTTTGTTTCAGTTCAGAGGACATAAATATAATGAACTACTTTCAATAAAACTGCTCTTGACAGTTTTTCCTCCGAGTGACATTGAAAGGAAAGGTTAAATTAAGAGGACAAATCTCCCTATGGTGCATACAGTATAAAGTGTATAATCTTAAAGCTGAAACCGATGAATAGAAAGTGTGTAGATTTACCAAGTCAGATCAAATGAATGTATTTTTTGCGTTGCCCCAAATCACAACAGCGGCGGTTTCTCCAACGTCATCATTAGAACGCATAAGAAATACATAAATAGAACACCTTCGAGTCATTGGTCCATGTGATAATGGATTAACACAGTGGTTCCCAAAGTGGGGGGCGCAGAGCAATTTCAGGACGGACGTGAATGAATGAATGAATGAAAATATAGTAAACAAAAAAAAAAAAGCCAAAAATACAGTACGCTAAATGACACTGCTAGCATAAGATGGACAAATGATTGACACTTGACAATCTGGAGTTAGATAATATATTGTTATTTACGGTACTACGTTAGCTTCGAAGGACAACATGAGGTCTTTGACAGAGGTCCCCAACTCCCCCTCAAACTCCTTTTTGTCCCTTATCAACCACCGTATTTCAAGATGGCACATTAACATGTAGAGTCCTCCAGCATCATGGACATTTATAAGTCAAATTCTAAGCCTAGGACAAGAATTAAAAAGCATGGTGGTGGTGAATATTCTTAAAAAGGTCACATTTGTTATTGGTTTATGTGTTTTTTCATTTGCAGCAACTGTAAAAAATGACACAGAGTAAAATCCATTCACAGTTGTTGCCTATTTGACCCTTTCCCTTAACCACACGGCCCTTCAGGTGCAGGACATTGCTCGATTAAAAAAAACGTATGCCGGTTTATGAGTTTGCATGTTCTACCAGTGGGTTTTGCCCGAGTTCTCTTGTTTTTCTATCAGGCTCTTGAGCAGATATCTCAGTTATGGAAATTTGTTAGTCTCCAACACATTGGGTGATTGGCAGAACATTTAGTTTTTGGCTTTTCCAAAAACTACTTAGAAAAGGTCAAATTTTAAGACTTTTAAACTATTTTCTAAATTTAAAAGTATTCAACCATTTAAAATTAATTAAAAGTGTTAGATGAATGGAAAAGGTGCCTGTAAATGAACTATGGATTAATAATGAAATGTGACTATGACTATTGTGGCTATTGTTCTTCGGATGCTTTCTGATAAATGATGCAGCGAATGGGATCCATGTAAACAAACAAAACTAACTTATGTGCAAAAAAGTCTATTCTGCAGCTACATTTTCTTTCTAAATATGACATCAGCCTCAGATCTGTGGTCCTGGGTGTGACCAAACAGCAAAACATGTTCCTTCAAATATATCTGCTCCCAAAATAAACTGGTCGCAATTTACAAATCGTAAAAAAACTTTAAAAGTCCTTTGTCTTTTTATGAATAAACGCTGCTTAAGCTGCAGTTTTAACACTATAAATGCAACCGCAAATCCAAGTAAAACAAGGTCATTAGTAAAGCATTTTTGTGGCTGATGCGTTCCAACTTTCTCGTCGTCATCCTTTTCAAAACGACAAATACAGTAAAGCAGATAATAAGTGATGACATAATTTATTAAGACACACACACACACACACGCACATGTATGTTTTGTTGTTTTGTCACGGCCAGGACACACACACACACAAACGCACGCACACACACACACACAAGCACACACATGGATGGATGGATGTTTAATGATTGTAATGTATAGTGATTAATAACAGAAAGTAATATTATCATTGGACATTATCAATAGAGATATAACTTATGTATTTAGGTCTCATAGCCGAAGGATTCAGGAGATGTTGTACCAAAGCTTTTTTAAACAGTATTCTAATTTCTATAGTGTGTAATGTAAATTAAATATATTTTCTCACCGTTCTGAAACCAGTTGATCATTGCTGCGAGCTCACACCAGCAAACTCAAAATTTCTTCAACTCTCCAAATGAATATTGAATGAATGTAAATGTCTGCTGAATTTGTAATATCTCACTCACTCACTTACTTTCACCGGTTTTTGGATTTTCTCTTTTTTTTTTGCGTTGCTGAAGAAGCAGGCTATAGCTGTCAAATTGTTGCCAAACTGCTTTGACGAACGGGAAAAAAAAGCAAAAGCAAAGCTGACATTTTCACCAATTATCTGTAATCTCCTCTTCTTTTGGACCAAAGCTTTTCAGAAATGATGAAAAGGTTTGAATCATTTCCCAAACAATGTGTCAAATACTGGATCTTCCCATTGACAACTGTATTATTGTCACATATTTCTGTGTGAATCCAGATCGACAGGAGGCTCGTCCCCCGTCGGAGCCCAGACTGGGTTAGACACATTTACAACTGCTCCATCGCGGCGTCGGAAAGATTTTATATTTAACAGAACGTTCTGAGAGTCTGGCTTCCTTCTGGATCAGAGACAATGTGAAGCTTCTGTCTGTCTTTTGTGGTTTTGAGATTGACAAATGTAGCACGGAGCATCTTAGATTTTTGTGTTGCGTGTCCTCAATTTGACTCTTGACTGATTTGCACCAATTATGAAATTATGATAATTATACGCAAGGCAAGTTTATCAGTATAGTACAATTCATACACAAGACAACTCAAAGTGCTGAACAATACACGATAGCATTAAAATCATAATCATGGCTGAGTAGATAGCACTCTCGCTTCTCAGCAAGAAGGTCCGGGGTTCGAATCTCGGTCGGAACAGGGCCTCTCTGAGTGGAGTTTTCATGTAATCCCTGTGTCTGCGTAGGTTTCCTCCGGGTGCTCTGGTTTTCCCTACCACTAAAAATATGCACAATTCTTGGGTTTCATTAAACTGGCCAGTAGGGGGCGAATGAGCAGAGGTGGGACAAATCAGTTTTGCTCCCATTGAAAACCATGTAAAGTCTGTTTTGGAGTCAAAGGCTCTCCTCCTGTGCGGTGTACGGTTGTCGTAACAGTCTTAATCGGGGACACTCAATTCTAAGGGAGTACTAACAAATATTTCTCAAAAAAGTCTTGATTTCGGGCATGTTTGGAAAAAAAACCTGAAGAAATTGCTGCGTTTCATCAGGGTGGCCTGCAGGGGGCGCTTATCTGGGAAAGCCTTGATCCACCACCACTATATCTCCGTGTATAAACCCGGCAGACTGCACCGCCAGGACACGTCACATCCTGTCCTACGTTTGTTATTCGCGCCACTGCCCTGACGTCATATGAAACCCAGGAATAGGTATGAATGTATTGAGTGAGTGAATGGATGGTGTTGGTTGAAGGCTTTGATGCTCCAGTGTGTTCGACGACTCGCTTCCGTCATCACCGTGTGTGGAATGATTGGAACAATATCTGAACTCTGAGCATTGTAAAGCGCTTTGGGTGACCTTGGTCTGTAAAATGCGCTATACTATTAAAGATGACTTATTTACTCACAGGACCGTTTTTAACCTGTATTTAAACATGGTCAGAATGGTCAAGGTCATTAAATATATGTAGCGCTATTTTGGACACTCAAAGACAATTATAGATGCCGTAATATACAGTAATGCTATTGATATTAAGGAATATAAAGGTAAAGATGCACTTATATTCTGTATTTGACCCATCATGATGTCACCGTCTGATTAAAAGCTTATGATAAATAATTCTTGCATTTGTCCTTGTTCTCTCGATGTCCCTCTCTGCTCTTCTATACATTTCTGGTCTTATATTTATTCAGTTTACAGCCACTCATCTTATCTCTTCCCGCTGAGCACAAGGCGAGCGGCTCCGGACCACTGCGTACTTTCACAGTAGGACGTCATCAAACCCACTGACCTCTCATTTCTTTGCCTCGCTGGTCCTTATGACTCAAGCGGCCCTTGATAAAACGCACAGATACGCTGACTTTGTAACCTTCAGATTCTTTCCAAAGTTGCGTTTTAAAACATGTCTTACAATTTGAGGCGTGGAAGAGAAATGGTTTTGCGTGTGTGTTTGAAAATGGAGTCAAATGTAGCTTCATTGAACCAGGGAGATGACAACGCTAGGTTCAGGTTTATGTGTTTATAGTTCAAATAACAAGTCAAAACCCGGGTGGAGCTCGGTGTAGAGCCGCTGCTTGTCCATATCGGGAGGCGCCAGCAGCAGAGATGGTCCATTTGGAAGAGCTTGCCGTGGAGAGGGGAGTCTGGGTGTCTCTGCTCAGAACGCTGCCTCCTGCTGAAGAAAAAAATAAAAATAAAATAAATTGAATAAATAAAAAAAATAAAAAATAATAATAATAATAAAAAATAAATAAAAAATAAGATGTGTTCATACATTTTGTACAAATAAAAAATGGCCTTTTGTTGCGAAGATATAATTCATATTTAAATCATTGTCATTCCACAAAAAAGCCACAATGATAAAATAATACATGTTTTAAAGCCGGGCTACTTAAGTTTCAAACCACCAAAAAAATGCATTATAGAATTGACAAAAATGAAATCCTCCCTATAAAAAAAGTTTGGTTATTTTATGGCTGGTCTCTGTCATATCTTTATATCTTTTTCAGTCAAGAAAAGTGAGTCACCAATCAGCTCCATCCCAAAACATCAGAGAGTGACGACTCTTTCTACAAGTATGCCGCATTTAAGATGAAGACCACTTTCTTTTCCTGTTGGGCCAAACAACATGTCATATTTTAAAAGTAGGACAAAGTTACACTGCAAAAAGTGAGGAAAAATAAGTCAAAAATTGCTCAAATTGGGCTAAATGTATCTTGATTTGAGGACATTTTACCTGCCGTGAAAACTAGATTTTCCAATTGGACGAATAAAATGATCTTGTTTTTAAAAAGATAGAAAGAAATGTCTCCCATGGAATGATAAATTAAAGCACCAGTTCTTGAAATAAGGGTTGAATGGCTTTGTCCTAGATTAAGGACAGATTAAGATAAAAGCATCTAAGCATTTATTACCACATGTTGTCATTTTTTTTACAGTGTAGATATCCCAGCTTCTCTTCACAAGTCTCTTCACTGGCTTCATCCTCCTGTGACAGCTGTGTTAAGCCTGTCCCTCCCTCTCCCTCCCCCTCCCTCTCTGTGGGTGACGTCCCGAGTCCCGAAGGGGGGGGGGGGGTTTCATCAGGGGTCTGGATTGCCACAGATCAGATACAGACTCGGCCTTCGGGAGCCGGGTTTGGGTTTCACTCCTGGCCCCAGACTCTCGGTCCAAATCCATACTGAGCTTTTATGAGGGTTTTTACACCTCCAGCCGTAAAAACAGTTATAGAAGTATTAACTGCAGTTGTCTGAGGGCATGTTTGACCTCACGGTTTGTGTAATTTACGTCAGGAATATAGACAACACAGTATATATTATGTACACAATAACTTGTAATTGCATAATTATTGATCTGGTTTAGACAGTATTGTGGTTGCATATGAATGGATAGATTTATAGATAGATAAATGCAGCCAGCGGAAGTTCAATTTGGTAGACGTCAGCCAAAGGTAACCCCTCCAGGCCGGTTCTCATCCTCAGCCTATCGCACTGCAAACGCCCCCTTCCAATCACCGGACCGGCCAGGCAAGCCGCTTAAAAGCGGAGAAGCGCCCACTCGCGGCCTTCTCGAAGCCTGCAAAGAACCGTTCTGGAGGAATCGCTTGTCTACTCACGCTTACTCGTTGCATGTGTCCCTGCTGTCCTCTGTCTTGCTGCGTGTGGTCTGCTCTTCCTCCGCGTCGCTGCACCTGCTGCGGGTCTCGTGCTGTGGTCCGTGGGTCTTTGCCGCTCTCCTCCTTTGCGGGCTCTTTCTGCGGGTCCGCCGCTGCTCGTCTCGTCGCGGCCTGCTGCTGCATACGGCCGGTCTGGACCGGTGCGGTGGGAGCTGTGCGCATCCCTGCCTCCTCGTGCCGGTACGGCGTGGTCCCGTCGTGTTGTCCCTTGTCTTCTGGCGTTGTGGGTAAGTATGAGACCTGCGGACGGTTTATTCCCCTCGCATTGTACCGCAGGCTCAGTTGGCCCCGCGCTTGTACTGCAGGCTCAGTTGGCCCGTGCATTGGTGTGCCAGCTTCAGTTTAAAGCCCTCGCATTATTCTGCAGGCTCTCTTAACCAAGCTCCGTTTAAATCCTTCACTCTGACTGCAAGCTCCGTTATTCCTCACATTGGACTGCAAGATCTCAGTTTAATCCCTCACATTGGACTGCGTGCTCAGTTTTAATCCCTCACTTTGGCCTGCAGGCTCTGTTTAAATCCCTTTCTTTGGACTGCAAGCCCCGTTTAAATCCCTCTGGACAGGAAAAGAAGAAAAATATGGTTCTGCTCATATCTGGAACGCTTATATATAAAAATAAATAAATATAAATAAATATAAATATAAATATGAATAAATATAAATAAATAAATAAATACATAAATAAATAAATTAAATAAACTGCAGGCTCTGTTGGATCCCTCACACTGGACTATAGGCTTTCGGTTAAACTCCTCACTTGGACTGCGGGTTCAGTTAATCCCTCACTTGGACCGTAAAAACTGTTAAATCCCTCACACTGGACTGCAGCTCTCGGTTTAATCCCTCACCTGGACTACAAGCTCTCAGTTTAATCCCTCACCTCGGACTACAGGTCGTTTAACTCCCTCGCACCGGACTGCAGGCTCTCCGTTAGACGCCTCACTTGGACTGCGGGCTCAGTTTTAATACCTCACTTTGGACTGCAAGCTCTATTTAAATCCCTCACATTAGACTGCAAGCTCTGTTTAGGTCCCTCGGCGTCTCGTGTCCCGCAACCTCTTCCCGGCTCTCCGTGAGCCCCAAGTCGGCACGCGGCTCGGGAGGTGTCCGTGGGCTACGTCATCGGCCCCTTCTCTCCGTCTCGCTCTAACCCGATGGGCATCGCCACCCGCAAGCACTCCAGGAAGAAGCGTCTCATACTCGTCCTCTCCTGTCCCCGCTC